CAGGCTGATGACTATCTCACCTAAGTTTTAACTACCTTGGAGAGTCCATACAGCTTAACTTGCTCTCCAGCTTCCCTCTTGAGGCAGTAGAGAGAAAATGTTCATCCTAGAGTTCCAACAGTGGAAAGCAAGCCAGATAACAGGCTGGTAAAAGTCTATCATGCCAATCTACAGCCAGAGAAGTGTTCTGCATTTCATTACCAGGGGTCTTAATGGGATTTCTCTGAGTGGCAGATTTACTGGCTGTAATCTGTTGCCTCCATGGACAGTATCAGATGCAACTGGTCAGTAGATCCCAGATCAAGCCAGACAAGCGTGTAAGACCCTTGGAGTCAGAACTAGGTGAGGTACAAGCCTACCTGAAAGTAGAAGACAGCTGGGAGATTCTCTCTGTCAGTGCCTACCTGTGGCAAGTGTGAATGTTCAGGCTGCTGAACACCTGCCTGTATTCTGAGGTCACCACTCAAGGAAGCATTGATTGAAAAACTTCCTCACACAAGTATAAGTAGATCTGCTACAGTAAAGTATGTGAATGGCATAAAGAAGATGCCTACATATTAAAACATCCCATAGTAAAAATGATGGTCCAGATTTGTTGGGTAATCCAGACATCCAGCATGATCTAGTCAGTATAATAGAGCCAGGTGATAAGGTAGGATAAAACGTCTGATAAAATGTAGACAACTACAGTGTAAACATACACAACTCAGACAGTCACTCTTACTTCCATATATTTCCAGAGAGGAAAAAAGGAATCATCTAATCTACTTTGAGGACGAAATGAATTATGTCTCAGAATGTGCTAAAAAAAGGAATCATATAATCTACTTAGATGAAACGGACGAAATGAATTATGTCTCAGAATGTGCTTATTAGAAATTCAGAGCTACAAAATGAGCAAGGTGACTTGCTCATTTGCAGTGTAGGTGCATTTGCAGGCATCAACATTTAATTAGATGAATCCCATGCCAAGTGTACATGACCCAGGAAACTGTCATTCAGCATCTGAGTAAGTCCTGTGCCGTTCTTTCCTAACTGCAGGGTTGGGAACAGGTCAACAGAGTCTGGATGGGAAAAAATAAAATGAAAAAGGGTGCATACAGCTCATCAGTGAGCTTTATCGATCCTTACCAGGCAGAATGTCTCTTGAGGACTGCTGACAGCTAGAAGAGGGTCCAACAGAAATTAAGGCAGCTCTACACTAGAACAGGGACAAAAGCTCAAACAAGGAGACTGGAAACACTAATGTAAGAAACAGCCTGACTCTACTGCCTGGAGATGTTGAGTATGAAGTTATTATTCCCCTCCCTCGTTTCTTTTTTTGCCTTTGGCTTTCATTATTTCACTTTATCAATTTAATTCCATCTCCAGAGCAAAGGAGTCAGATTCTGGGTCCTGCTGAGATTTCATTTTCTTCAAATTCTCTTTTTCATTCAGGCTGTAGGTGATGGTTGAACAGGGATGGACACACAGGGTCAGCACATGTTCCTTATTTCTTCTTATATAAAGGCTCCTGAAGAATTTAAAGTGTTTAATAGGAAGAAGCTGTCATAAAACCCATGGAAAAGAACAAACACAAAATCTCAAGGCAATCATTGTCTCTGCAACATTATAGGCATTACACAGCAGCAGACGGAAGGAAAACAGTGCTGTGAAGAATAAAACAGTAATGAGCACAACATCTGGGCATGAGAGGTAGAGGGGGAGTGAAAAGGGGAAAACGTTAGATCACTAAATCAGGGCTGGATGTTTTCCATAATATAGTGCCAGCCTTGCTTTTCATGACCTGTGGTTGCAGTTGCAGCATCAACATTGTGCTCATGTTGGACCTCACCCAGAGGAGCTCTAGGGAAGCATTTAGTTTATGCCTGTGTTCACAGATGCTGAACACAGCAAGGGGGCAAAGCAAAGGCAGGAGAGCTGAATTACTGCAAAATGTAGGAACCCATATGATGTTCTTCTTCTTTCGACTTCAAAGTGTATTGCTTTCCACATGGCATTTTTAGGCAAGAGAAATATCAATGAAGAAGACAAGGTCTCTAAACAGGAGCAGAGAACCTACTATTAGTGTTATTATTTTTTTGCACCATGTGGGCACCTTGGAATAAGATTCACAATCTGTAACATTATTGTTCAAGATACTATAGAAATACAGATCACAAAGACTGTTCATGTCCCAGATTCAAGTTTTATATGTGATCATTTGACTTTGTGTCACCTGTGACAGAACATGGAGCTACCTTGCTTATAGATGTTACTGTAGTTCAGTTGAGCCGGAGAATATTTCGTTTTAAGCCATAGTAACTTGAGCATGTGCCTGAGTCTCTATAGACTCTAAGAACTCACAATCCCATTTCATACCCTGCACCCTTCTGAAGAGAAATAAATACTCAGAAAATTTATATCTTGAATTGTTCTATGGAAAATTGCATGCAGAAGTAGACAAAAGGGGGAAGAGGCAGTTTTATGCTTCTCCTTGCTCTTGAATAAACAGACATTTACTCACCAGCCAGTAGGGATTTCTTCTTTCTTTCAGCTGACAAGCAAGGGAGTTATTTCCTATGTTTCTCTTTCTTTGAAAAGAAACAAGTTAATAACATATTTCTCCACTACCTGCCATCATTAGTAAGTCTTACTGCTACAGAAGAATAACAAAACCCAAATGTTGGGCAATTTTCACTTCTCCCAAGTGAAAAATAGGTTGTCTGCAGCAGGTGAAAATTGGGAGGAATCAACACTGCAAATTTGACTGCTTAATTTATGGGCAGTTACTACTTCATCAGGGAGTTTCCTAATGAAACTTCTCCAGTGCTTGACAACTTAACCTAAAAGCCAGGTTCAGCTGTAGTGAATAATACTCCATTCTAGTAATAGGCCAGGGGCAAAGGTGTTTTTGGAGAAAACAGATACTTGTGGTATCTTCCCAAATATTGCAGAGTGTGAATTCACTGTGTGTGGAGTATCCCATGTTTGCAGACCACTTGTTAGCAGGTAGCAATAAGGTGTTATTCAAAGCAGAATAAGTAGTATCTTAATGATATTGAGCAAACAGTAAGAAGATGGTGGAGCTCTGTTGATGTCCCATTCTTTACAAATGGAGATAAGGCTTTGTTGGGAATGAGGGTGGCAGGATATAACTTGAAATAAGTATAAAGTAATGAGAAGTGAGTCTGGAAGGTCACGACTTAACGGTCACAAAGTGGAGTGTCATAGTCCCAATGAAATATATGTAAAACATAACTACAATAATTCAAAAAATGTAGAGAGAAAGGGCAACAAACAGCATCCACAGAATGAAATAGCTTTCAAAAAAGAAATATGCCATAATTTTTCACTGGAAAATAAATGTCTTTGAGGGGATGTGACTTCTTTAATAGAAGTGATGTAAACAGTGGAACTTGTTGCCACTGGACGTGGTGAACAACTAGAAGATGCACAGTGAGCCTGGGAAAATCTTTACAGTGATTCAATACAAAAAATATTGGGGGAACAGAATAGAGAGTATCTGGGTTCTGCTGCTGAGTTAGTGCTTGAAAGGATTCCTGCCTGAGTGGGTGATACATTTTAACCACATTGAGATGCAAAACTCTTTTCAATGGCTCTGGACTTCCTCTATCTCTGATCTCTGAGCTGTGGTGTCTAATTTGGAACAGACAGGGGGGAGGAGTTCAATCTGAATAGTACCCCAACTACCTGTGTTATTCTGGATTTGAGTGATAAAGAACAAACTAGCCGAAATGGTCTGTTTTGACCTGGAAAAATCTATGAATTCCTGAATCCAAATAATAGTCATTGCATAATCATAAGAAGTAAGGCTCATGGTCTGCTTCTGACATCATTCTGACAGTGAGGGAGGAGAAACAGGTTTTTTCCCTTTTGTCCTTGCTATGCCACTTTTGGAACAGGAAAGAATTGGGAAGATCTTCTGAGATGCACAAAGAGGGTCTCAAAACCACATCCCCAGGGCTGAAAAGAACTGCCTGAAGTACATACTTTCTTCAATTCCTCCAAACCACACAGTTCATTTGCCCAAAGCTGGTAAGCAGAAGAAAAACAAGCTGATGTATGAGGCAAATAACAGAACTTTGATGGAAATACTCCTAGCAGCTGAAAAGCAGGAATGGCTTGCTGCAGAGGCTGCTCTGGTGACACAGAAATCTGCATGCTGCCCTCCCTTGCTTCTAAATACATTGCGAGGAAAAAAGGGCAGAAATCTCCCAACTTTTATCACACACACAATGTGTTTTACCTGCTTTTCTCTGCGGTTTTACCAATTCTAGTCACAGTAGAAGCAGTTTGGACAGGACTCAAAATAGACCCTGATTTCCAATTAGTTTCTTTGTCATTCTTTGCCCTTCTCTCATTGGTGCTGCCCATAGGCAGCTCCTACTGCAGTCAGTGGGAAATGAGACAGGATATTAAACTATTAATTTCGTCTTTGCTTACTGCCTCAGTTTCTTATCTCAGCAATAGCACAAGTATTCTTTATCAAGATTATGGTCATTGCAATGCTAATCCCTGCAAAGGTCTTCAGATCATGTGAGAAAGAGGCACAAATTATTACTGAGCTCATGAGGGGGAATGAGCTGTTATAAAACAGACCAGTTATGCACTTAGACTTATGTCAGTAGCCATTGCCACCTACACCAGTAGAAGACCTAAACATTATCGAGGACTTTCCAGGCACACTGATTCTTTTTTATTTCCTTTTTTCCCCCCCTCCTCCCCAGTTTAATTTTGTAGATATATGCCACTGCATCACCTGAAGTACAGAAGTAAATTCCTGACCTCTGATAATAATCAGCGATTGTTCTAGTACATCCCCATTGATTGATTTTTTTGTCCTTATAATGTTTCTCTAAGCTCATTCAGCTGCAGTGACCGCACCTCTCACGGTAAGATGTTTGCCTTGACATTGCTGAAAACCCCCGCAGACATGATAAGAAAGGTTCAGAAACCTTCAATTCAATGTCCATGACCTATCCCAAGCTGAAACTCACCTGGAGCAGAGTCATTGAGAGGGTTCAGGGCAGCTGCCCTCCGTATTTTCTCCAGACAGGTCTCTTGCTCCTTTTTAATGATGCAGTTGGAATGGGTTGCTGTAACCTGAAATGTGGGGAAAAAATGGGGGGAAAGAACCATTAAGCACTTAAAATAGCTAGTAACTTTATCAGGAAGCATCAGTAAGTTTGGAGGTTCTATTTCAAAAAGAAAAAGAGACAAAAACATCCTTAGAACATGAGAGAAAATCACAACAAGCTTTTTTTTTCCTATTTTTTTTTCTTACAGCTTAAGGTCAAACTATGGAATTATAACTCTCATAAATTTGGGGAGTTTTTATGCTTTTCTCCCTGTCAAAACACGTGTTTTTTATTTTATTATATTCCTTTCTCAAATAAAGCTGAAGCAAAGGTACCTCTAAATAAATAATTTGTTTAAAGAGGAATCAGAAATCAATTGAGGCTCAGTTTGATCTTCCACCAGTTTCTTGTGAGACTTGCACAACCCATTAACCTCACTCAGGACTCAAAACTAAATTAAAAGCACTTTCTCTTAGTCTTTCACCCTCTCCATTCCTTAATGTTTCTTTCTTTATTTATTCCAGTGAATACAAGGCTGCTTTCTTGCCAAAAAAAGGATGCAATGCCAGTTAAACTGAAGTGACTTGATCCAAATCTTTTTTCTTTCTTTTTCTTTTTCTTTTTTTTCTAACTTTAAGGCTCTAAGGCAGCCCACGACAAGGAAAAATAAAAATAAATAAAGAAAGAAAGAAAAGATAAATGAGTCTACAACAGTAATATTGTAGCCAACAGAATTCAGGCAATCCCAAAGCAGCAACAAAATAAGAATGGGACCCATTCCCAGGAATCAATACAAGATTTCATTCCTGTTGTAGAATGTGGACAGACAATATCAATTCAGGGGAAATAACAATCTCAGGTTTCATTAGATCATTTTAAAGGGGTACTGCTGAGGTTCAAATTACGCTCTCTGGAAAGCACCATGAAAATCAGTGCACTGGTTGAAGATGGGATAGGTCACCCCAGTTCTCTGCAAGCAATTTTGCTCTTTCATCACATTTCCTTCAATCTTAATCATGGAAAACTGCCGAAGTAGAGTGTAGCTACCAAGTGGCCTATTTTCCCTTACCTGTTAAGTAAGAACAAGCAAACAGAATCACAAAATCATCATCATGGTTGGAAGGGACTTTTGATATCATCGAGTCCAACCACAAAAAAACCCAAACAAAACAAAACAAAAAAAACCCAACACACGCAACACCCCACCACGTCACACCCACCCACAAACCAGCAATCTTGGGCACTAGAGCATGTCCTGAAGAGCCACTTCTACACTTTTCTTAAATATCTCCAGGGATGGTGACTCTACCGAATCATCATTATGGTTGGAAGGGACTTTTGAGATCATCGAGTCCAACCACAAAAAAAAAAACAAACCAAAACAAAAAAAACCCAACACACGCAACACCCCACCACGTCACACCCACCCACAAACCAACAATCTTGGGCACTAGAGCATGTCCTGAAGAGCCACTTCTACACTTTTCTTAAATATCTCCAGGGATGGTGACTCTACCACCTCCCTGGGTAGGCTGTTCCAGTGCCTGACCACTCTCTCAGTAAAGTAATTCTTCCTAATATCTAATCTAAACCTCCCCTGCTGCAATTTAAGACCATTTCCTTTGGTCCTGTCATTGTTCCCTTGGGAGAAGAGGCCAACACCCACCTCTCTACAACCTCTTTTCAGGTAGTTGTAGAGGGCAATGAGGTCTCCCCTCAGCCTCCTCTTCTTCAAACTAAACATGCCCAGTTCCCTCAGCCTCTCCTCATATGACTTGTTCTCTAGACCTCTCACGAGCTTGGTGGCTCTCCTCTGGACACGCTCCAGCACTTCAATGTCCCTCCTGTAGTGTGGGGCCCAAAACCGAACACAGCCCTCAAGGTGAGGTCTCACCAGTGCTGAGTACAGAGGCACCATCACTGCCCTGCTCCTGCTGGCCACGGTATTCCTGATACAGGCCAGGATGCCGTTGGCCTTCTTGGCCACCCGGGCACACTGCTGGCTCATGTTAAGCTGTCTGTCCACCAGCACTCCCAGGTCCTTTTCTGCTGGGCAGCTTCCCAGACACTCTTCCCCAAGTCTGTAGCGTTGCCTGGGGTTATTGTGACCAAAATGCAGGACCCCGCACTTGGCCTTATTAAACCTCATCCCGTTGGCCTTGGCCCTTTGATCCAGGGAAAGCAATACCTGAACTCAATCTCCTTCCGTTTATTTTTGGAGCCCCAACTGGACAGGTCAACTTCACTTCCCTCAAATGCCAAGGGATTGGCATGAACAGTTTGGGTCACTGATGTATGGCACTGCCACCATACACTCAATACACAATTACAGCAAATCCTAAAGTACACATAATGCTTTTTTGCTGGTGGTTCTGTGTGTGCTAGGAAGCATGGAGGCTTTTGCATGCTTTTGACCTTGTAACAGGTAGAAGCCACAACCCCTATTTCAAAGCCAGAGAAGATTTCCTAATGCATCTCTTCTGGAAAGCATTACTCAACATTTGTAGGAACTGATAATGCTGCACATTTTCATCTCCAAGATCTCAGTAATAAATTTCAGTTATTTTCCCCGCGGGATACACCAGTCATAACCATATTAAATTTGTTTATCTTCAAAACAAACATTGTTCTGTTCTGAGGGCTCCCAAGGGCCTGGAACATATATATTGTCACAGATCTCTGGGATCTCCCAAGAACATAAGGGCTTTTGCTACATCATCCCCTAAACCTCGCCAAAGACTGGGAAAATTGAATTGGCTGACATTCAAGTTCTTAGAATATCTTTTAAAAAGATAAAAGAGAACTGGAGAGTCTTCTGCTGGTAGTACTGGTTTACACTCCACAGTTGCCCAGGTCTACAAGCAGTGCCCAGGGGTTGTCTCAGTACATGAACGTGGCAGTTTCTGTGCAGTTCAGTATATGCAGATTAGAATAGCTGTCATTTACTACTAATAATAGTAATAATAATAATACAATATAAATAATCTATACAAGAGGATACAAACAAGCAAATGGAAATGTTAACCTGCAGAACCCTTTTCAGCTTGATATTGTGGATGTCAAATGTTACAGGAGTTCAAAACATATATATATGTGTATTTATATTTGTAAAGTCCATCAAAGCATACAAAACACTAACTAACTTTTGATGCCCTATAAGCTAACCCTAGACCTTTGAGAGGAAAGTTTAGATTCAATCTATAGTGAAAGGACAAAAAAGTGTGATTTATCTTTCCTATTTTTGGTGTCTTCTTTAATAGAGGTAAATCAAAGCCAGAACTTGATTGACTATAAAGAAAGCTTATGGTTAAAAGCTCAACTTTTATAGTCTTCCTTGCAGACAGGCATATTTCATCAGGTGTAGCTGAGTGAACTGACTAAACTTAGTCAATGGTATCTGAGCAAGTCTGGCTCAGGAGGTATTTGAAATGTAGACAGCTAGGCACAGAGAGAGCACTAGAGTGATGTGCTTCACCTGTCCATGTAGCCTTCCTTAAGCTTTCATTATTGGTAGGATACTTTGATGTGATTTCCCATAATAATCATTATGCCATTTTGTTGCATTCTTCATCAACAGATTTAAAAAAAAAAGGGGGAACACAGAAACCGAGACACAAAGCAAAGAAAGGAAGGAAACAGTAACCCCAGTGCCAGAGAGAAGCTGCCTGTCATCTCCAACACAGAAACCAAGACACAAAGCAAAGAAAGGAAGGAAACGGTAACCTCAGTGCCAGAGAGAAGCTGCCTGTCATCTCCCCTAATGAGCAATGCTGTATCTGAGAAAATAAAACCAGATTTGGATTGTTTATAACAGAGAGTTTCTCTGTTGAATGCAGAGATGCATTAATATTATCATGTTTTCCTAAAAGGATCCACATGTTTTATGTTTCTTCATCATCTGTGTACTGGTAGGGCCTTTAGTCTGTCGAGTCAGGCTTCAGCAACTGAACTGCAGAGAACAATTCAAATTGAAGTGTAAGCTGGAACTTCATGGCCTCCTGATTTCATTTCTTTTGCCTCAAGGACATTTGTAATTTCCTGAGTTCAGTAGAGACAGTCTGGTTTCAGTTTCCCAGAAGATATCAGTGATATGTGCAGTTAAAGAATATTCTGACACATAGTAGAAAAATCAAGAAACCAAGAGGATAGTGCATGAAATTAATTCCTTTTTAAAAAAGGATTACTCTAAATGAAGTGAATGAGTTTGACTCACACCAGCTTTGAAAAGGCGTGCACTTGTACAAATACAAATACAGTACATCTGTATTTTCCGTTTGTACAAGTGTACAAATACAGTAAATACAAACAATGTCTGTTAAATTCTGAGAACACAAAAAATACAAAAGCAGTCACCTATCTCTGTGCAACAAATCAACAACTTTCATTTTTCTTGTTTTTTTTTTTTTTTAATTGACCGGCATGCACTGTAACTTGTAGTATTTAACTCTCTGTTGTTCCCTTGACATTATGGTAATATTAATAACAATCACATTATTATGTTACTACCTACTTATATTCTGTCACACATACTCTCGAGGTGCTGCTTTATTGTGAACTGTTCCGTTAAGAAAGCCATTGTTAGTACATAGCCCTGAGCAAAAAAAACAGGTGAATGCATTGATGCTGTTTCCACACCTGCCCTAGCTTTATGCATAAATCAATTATCAAATTTTACAGTAATATGTTTAAGTAAAGCATTGCTCAAATGTAGGGATGTTCCAGGGAAGGAACCACATGGGAGGAATTGCACAGGTCAGAAGGGTACCATACACTTCCCTGTTTATGGAAAAAAATATATTTAATAGCAAAAGACATTTATGTTTTGTTACTCGAATCATTTCCTCAGTTATATCAAGTGGATATAGGTTTTCTCATAGGAAAGTCATGACATTCTCTATGAATGGGACATTATCCCTGTGCCACGTGCATCATCACTGATTAAAACTTGTGCATAGGAGAGGTGGTTGGGTGGTGGAGGGATTTGGAAATTTTTTAACACATCAAAACTGAGCATTGGAAGAGGTC